AATAAATGACTTAAAATGCAATGAAGATTAATATATTCACCGTGAGGCATTTATGCTGATGGACTTCTATTTATTTTTAAATGTTAACAAATAGTTCAGCTTTTCAAATTATATTTAATCAGCCACAATAATCTCCTATACTGATGACCATTTGCAGATCCTACAGAGGAATAACTGTACAGGGTAGCCTATTTTTCTATGTAGCTATGTATGTTATTTGAAAAGGGGAAAATACCATGACAATTTTTGAGCTTTATTTCTTTTCTTTTATAAGGAATAATTAGACATATAGAAACAATTCTGCCCAAATGGATAGAGACCAGAGATGAATTGCAAAAGCTTAGAGTAGAAGTAGGCTAACCTGAGGTTTCAGATGAATCCCTCAGTTGCTGAAAATTGGTAGCGTGACTTCCTATCATTCTCAAATGGAACAGTACATAAACCAATTTTAAATTAGGCTTAACTAGTTAAAATAGTTTCTTTCCTCAAATCTCTGTACATCAGAATGAGACAACTTTACCCATTGCAGCCTTCATTCACTCAAATCTATTAAGGATAGTCCTTAACCAGCAAAAACTGTCTCCTACATCCTAGAACCTTAATTTGTTCCCTTTTTGGCTATGGCTGCCTCTTCTGAATACAAGATTGTTTTTAGAAGAAAGACAACATGATGGAAGAAGAAGATGAGGAAGGACAATGATGACAGCAGACGAGAGAATTCTATGACTATCTTATAGGGATCTCTACAATGATTGGTTAGAATAGGGGTGTCAAGCTCGTGGTCTGTGGCCCAGATATGTCACGCACTGGCCACTCCCACCCCCATTTTAATGAAGGGGAAAAAAGTCAGAATACATCATGTGATGACATGATGCCACGAGTTTGACACTCAGGGGTTACAACATGCAGTGCAATGGTTCTCAGATAGGTGTGATGTCATTCTATAAATTAAGCAAGAATTCTTTACAGTTCCAATCCTGAGAACAGAAAGTGTCTGAAAGAAGAATATGGACTTCTGAGAAATTATTCATTGTAGGGGACCATCATACTCAGCAAAATCATTTTCATGGATTGTTCAAATGAATATTTGAATTTTTCACCTTGGGTCTTGTTTTAATGGAGTATGGAGAGAAATATGGTGATATACAGATGGAATAAATACATATGGACAGTTTTCATTCACTTGGGTCTAACTTTTAAAGATTTTAACTTAGATTTAGCAAAAAGAAAAAAGAAAAGGAATACACAATAAATTCTAAGAAAAATTGTTTCCTATAGTATGAAACTCTAAAACTCTTAAACTTTCAGCTTTGTAGTGTTTTTTAAATACCTCCCCCTCCCACATACACACATATGGGGACAATCATATCTCTAGCAAAGACAGTCTCTGAAATATTCATTATGAATAACTAAATGCAAAAGCCACGTAGGGGTTTGCAGCAAATCCTCTCCTATGAGATCCAGCATACAACTAGACTTGCCACTGTGAAATATAGTAGGAAACTATGAGTCAGCTAAAAGTCAGTTGCTCAGATTGCTTGTTGTCTGCCAAAATGATCAGTTCTCTTGCTAGAGAGAAGAGGGGTTGTTAACAGTAGGAAATGCTCCCTAATTTCAATTCAATAAAGATTTTTATTCCCAGTGATGTCCAACCACTTCCTTTATGAATAACTTCTTGATCTGAGACCAAGCCTTTCTGAGGAAAAGATAAGATTTATTTTAAGTGGTTTTGTTTTGGTGCCTTTATAAACATTTGTCTCTCCTGTTAGATATGTCTAAATGAATAGAAATACTTATCATCATGTGTTGGATAAAGTTCTGAAAGCAGATGACTGTAAATAAATAAAAACCAAGTGAAATACAAAATAGTGTTTAAAAAATTAAACTAAGAAAACACTCAAAGCAGCTACTCAGGCAGCTTTTAAAAACGAGGGAGTTTGAAAGTTACACCACCTATTAAAAATAATATTTTTTAAAGAAAATAGGGGTTTATGGAAAGGGGCCAAAACATTTTTATGTCAGTGAATTCCAACAGGTATCTTAAATATCAGAATAAAGAAGTTAATTCTGCTCATATTCCAGTGATAAGCAGACCGCTCCTTTCTCACCTCTCTCCAGGCCTTCCGGAAAGCCGTCAAAACCTGGCTGTGCCGGCAGGCCTGGGGTTGACGAGTTCCCCTCCCCTCTCGACCTGTGTGGCTGTGTGATTCTTGGCTATTTTAACTACTTGTATTGTGTTCTATGTTCCCTTTCCCCCCTTTGAGTTGTTCGCCGCCCTGAGTCCCTCCCGGAAAAGGGCAGCATATAAATAAAACAAATCTCAAATCTCAATCTCTTCTTCAATTTTTACTTCTGAATTCACCCATAGTACTGTGAACATATTCTTAATAGCCTTACTACCACTATTTTGTTCTTCCTGCCTACTAGACATATACCTTACAAAAGAAAAGGGAACTGCTTAGTCAGAAAAACACATACAGAGTAGTATTTCTTATACATGCTTTCTCTGTTTAGCCAAAACACTGAAGGGAAAAAAAATTGGCTGGAATAATATAAATAATATTTTTGAAATTAGAATGAATAGAAAACTGGAAAAGGTATCACAGAATTCTGGTGCCATTATTTGCTTATTTAATAGTATTTCTAAATCTTCCCCATGTTAAAGGCCAGTGGAAAGAAGCAGGCCAAGAAATTAGAGGAAGAATGCTGGCATTCAAACCACCATCAAGGAGAGGGACTGCTATATCTTGCTTCCCAGACAAGGCTGTGAGGAAAGTAAGAGTTTTGTATAAACAACCAGCAAGATCACGTTACCTTGCGTGCCACAAAAGGGACAAAGTGATGCATACTGGTTAATGTGCTGGACTGGACAAGGGGATCTCAGGTTCAAGTCTACTCACAGCCGTAAAAACGTGTTTTGAGGAAAAAATATGTGTTGCCTTCAGCTTCTAAATGAATTGGGGTGGAGAGGGGGTGCCAAGAGTGACAGTCCTCTCTAACCTCTTTTGAATCAATCTAACCTTTTGTGTGTATTATATGGAATCAAGAGAAAAATGTTTGTTATTGTTTGGTGTCATCTTGCTTAGGAATGGGTGCATGCAGTAATCATGCATGGTTTGAGAACTTACTTGAAACGATGGCCCTTTCTCTTATGAATGAAAAAAAGTCACTAAATAGAATTCAAATGGAATCATGGCATCAGATAACAAACCTTGTCAAACTATCTAATGCTTTCTATTAAGGAAGAAGATCTGGCTTGGCCTAAGATTTGAGGGAAAGCTTTTCCTCTCTGTGTTGTTATTGTTGAAAATTTATCAAAAGACAACACTTCACACAACTATGTTCTCGCCAGTAATCACTGGAAAAACAGAACTCTTCTGACTCATTAAATACCATAGGCAAGCAAACTATTGTATGTATAACAGGCTGAACTTTAAGGCTTTGATTAATTAAAATGGAATGTTAATCAATCAGCATACTGAAAGAACCACAATGCATTTAGGAAACATGAAGGAAGCAACGACAGTTTTCTAACTTGTATGTCATGCTCATTTCATCTGGATGAACAATCCACAGTTCAGATAGGTACCACTGAGTCTATATGCTTCATTCAACTTCATTTTTATTTGGAATGTATATGAACTAAAATGCAACTGTGAACACATTTCCAAACTTTGCATTTTGGATTAAAATTCATATAATTATTGATATTTAGAAAATGGCACATTAGAAAGAACTGATATGTGCATAAAAACTCAATACAATTATATGAACATTTTTAAAAACTACAATTTCATACCAAAAGCTAACTTTGAAACTCATGGAAAAATGAGAAACTGGTGAAATTGATTTAAGCTAATTTGTCTGTCTTCTCATCCTGTGCCTTTTTCTATTACTAATGTACATATTATCTTGTATTAACAATATAATGTAAGAATTGATGTATTATATTAAAAGAGAAAATATACTTTTGCAAATAAAAACTAAATGTATAATGAATTTATTTTCATAATGAAAGCTGAAATAATAAAATAATTAATACTGCTATGTTTAATATGTTGTCTATAAAATGCTATTTCTTGTGTTACAAAAAGGTCTGGCAAACTATTATTCTGATGATAGGTGAAAACAACTAGTATTTAAAATATGAAGGTCAATTTAATTTTGTTTTTCTTTTGTTCTGCTTTATTTAGGACAAAGAATTGTCTGAATCCCAACATTACACATGGCTTTTAAAAGTCCTGGAGCTTTCTAAATATTGTTATTTAAACTGGCATTTTGGATACATTTTTGGAGAACAATCATACTAACTATATTTAATATTAATTCATTGTGTGTACATTTGCAAATACAAATTTGGCTTTACCCTTACACCCACAAAAGACAAAGATAAATTAGTTTTTCACTAGTTTAGCAGGGAAAAGAGAGTAACAGCAAGCTTCAGAGGACAAGAAAGAGTTGCTACAGCTCCTAAAAACCTTTAAGTATATTTGTAATCTGGAGAACTTGTGTAGTTTATAATGAAAGAATAATAAAGTCAACGTGTCTCCAGGTCAGCATTGCTCCTACTCTGCTACAGCTCTAAAGAAGGATCCAGGAGCTGTAGCTGGCTCCTTACAATTACTATCTCAAATAGTAACTGTCTGTCTGTCTGTCTCTCTCTCTCTCTCTCTGCGTGTGTGACTGCATGTGTGCATGCCAGAGGTGGGTTGCTGCCAGGTCGGCCCCGATAGGGCGAACCGGTAGTAGCGACAGTAGGAGGCTCCACCCACTCACCCGCATGCTTCTATGCATGTGCGGAAGCATCTTGCATGCATGCAGGAGCACACCCAAACCAGTAGTAAAAAAATTAGCAACCCACTTCTGCTGCTTTTGTGAATGGATGTTTTTTTTTGGGGGGGGGGGTTACAAGCTTGCAATTTTTAAATGATGTGCATTTTCAAAACTAAACTCATAAACCAACAGTTGTCCAGAGGTTCTCAAAGTTATTAAGAATGTACCTTCCTCTTTATTTTGTTTCCTTTGAAGCCATTTTTCCACTGTTTCAGCACCAACGCTCTCTAACACAAATTCATCCAGTACCTGGGGGTGAAGAGAAAGATAGGCCTTCACTTTTTCATCTGTCAAACCTGCAAAAGAGAACATTATTGTTTATACTATTACTATTTCAAGGGAAAAAGCAACAAGAAAAAAAACCTCAAGATCCTCATTCATAAAGTAGTGTTATTGTACTAGGAACATCTCAAGAAAGGCTTTACAATGCTTAATTCAAAGAGGATAAAGAGATGAAATAAGAAACAGACTCAGCAAACAGACTGCCACATGAAAGATTACTTAAGTGATAATTATGAATGAGAAATGTCTATGGAGAGTCTCAATCATCCAGGTCTTGGTTGTCTTTTCCAAAGGTGCTTTTTCCAAAAGACAACTGGACATTCTAACATTTTGCTTCTTTCTCATCCAAGAAGATTCGTCAGATTAGTTATTCAAAAAGACACAGACACCCCAAAAAACCCCAAGAAAGTCCATTTTACTTTTGGAAAACACACCTTTGGAATATGAGTGAGAAACCTAAAGTTAAAGCAACCTGACTCTGATCCTGTTTCATACAAGAATCAATATGATGGCATAGAGAGAGCCAAGGATTTGAAGGATTTATGTTTACTAGACAAGCAAAAGATTTTCATATAGCAAAAAAGAAGTGGAAATCTAAATTGAAATATCAACACACTCAATATTAGAAAATACAATATGTTAAATAAGAAACAGGCACAGTGAAACATTATACTGTAAAGTCATCTGTTGTTGATTTCTGACATATATGCATCTTTGACAAAGTGACAAAATTAGTGGACCAAAGGAATGCTGTCAATATAGTTTACTTGGACTTCAGTAAGGTATTTGATAAGGTAGACCATAACCTACTACTAGACAAAGTAGAAGAATGTGGGTTAGACAGCATCACCACCAGATGGATTCGTAACTGGCTGGCCAACTGCAACGTGTAGTCCTCAATGGAACTGCAGCTACATGGAGGGAAGTTTGCAGTGGAGTACCCCAAGGCTCTGTTTTAGGCCCAGTACTCTTCAACATCTGCATCAATGATTTGGATGAGGGGATAAAGGGGGAACTCATCAAATTTGCAGATAGCCAACACTCCAGAAGACAGGCTTAAGATACAGAAGGATCTTGACAATCTTGAACATTGGGCACTATCTAATAAAATGAAATTCAATGTGAAAAGAGTAAGGTGCTACATTTAGGCAAGAAAAACGAAATGCATAGGTACAGTATAGGAGGTAAATTGCTCAATAGTAGTAACTGTGATAGGGATCTTGGAGTCCTAGTGGACAACCATTTAAATATGAGCCAGCAGTGTGCATCAGCTGCCAAAAAAGCCAACACAGTTCTAGGCTACATAAACAGAGGGATTGAATCAAGATCACGTGAAGTGTTAATACTACTTTATAGTGCCTTGGTAAGGCCACACTTGGAATACTGCATTCAGTTTTGGTCGCCACAATGTAGAAAAGATGTGGAGACTCTAGAAAGAGTGCAGAGAAGAGCAAAAAAGATGATTAGGGGACTGGAGACTAAAACATATGAAGAATGGTTGCAGGTACTGGGCATGTCTAGTTTAATGAAAAGAAGGACTAGGGGAGACATGAGAGCAGTGTTCCAATATCTCAAGGGTTGCCACAAAGAAGAGGGAATCAAACTATTCTCCAAGGCACCTGAGGGTAGAACAAGAAGCAATGGGTGGAAACTAATCAAGGAGAGAAGCAACTTAGAACTGAGGAGAAATTTCCTAACAGTTAGAACAATTAATCAATGGAACAACTCGCCTCCAGAAGTTGTGAATGCTCCAACACTGGAAGTCTATAAGAAGATGTTAGATAATCATTTGTCTGAAATGGTATAGGGTTTCCTGCCTAGGCAGGAGGTTGGACTAGAAGACCTCCAAGGTCCCTTCCAACTCTCCTATTGTATTGTATTAAATAAATTTTAAATACATATATGAAAAGAGAAATAACAGAAAAATAAAAAGCTAAGTATTAGAGTGCCATATTTTCACCCCCACCCATTTTACAACATATACAACATTGTTGTCTGTTCATACAGACTGAAGACCTGAAAATACACACAAATGGGTTAATAGAACTTCTGATTCTGAGAGGCAACTAAAGCTGAGAAAAAAAGAGTTTACAATCACAACAGAATAGTGTGCAGCAGCAGTCCATGGAGATACATGTATAAAGTGAGGCTTTGATCGTCAGCAATATCATTGTGTAAAGTGAAGCTTTGATTGTCACAGGGACCATTCTACCCTTAAGCAAAACAGTGCAAAAATGTTTCCACTACAAGAAAAACCCAAAACAGTAAGATAAGGACACAGAAAGTCCTCACCTTATGACCACAATTGAGCCCAAAACGTCTGCTGCTAAGTGAGGCAGTGTGTTGAGTTTTATCCCATTTTACAATTTTTCTTGCCACAATTGTTAAGTGAATCATTGCAGTTATTAAGTTAGTAATGTGACTGTTAAGTGAATCTCGCTTCCCCATTGATTTTGCTTGTAAAGCCACAAAAGATGATCATATAAATATAAGCCAGTTGCCAAGCATCCAAATTTTGATCACTTGACCATGGGGATGCCTCATTGGTTTTAAGTGTGAAAAATGTTCATAAGTCACTTTTTTCAGTGTGTCATAACTTCGAATGATCATTAAATGAATAGTTATAAATCAAGGAATATCTGTAGCAAACATTAATTAGAAGACTAAGTTCGAAAAGAAAAATTGAGACATGATTCGTGCTACACCACAAAATTGCATTTATTGAAAAGAAAGAATTGTAAAGATAATTGCTTTAATGATTAAGGATAAGGAAAGCAGTACTATAAGAATGATAACATAAAAAACCCTCCGGTTTTTACAAAATAAAACAAAATTTTAAGTTAAAAAAATGCCAGGTTCCACTGAAGTATTTCCAGATTCAGTCAGGGAGACAATGTCACAATTAGTGATAGCGTACAAAGCTGTAAAGTGATAATCAAATGGCCAAATTGCAGCTTTTGTAAAAAATAATAATAATTAAATTTATATTCCACCTGACTTCCAAAGACTCTGAACGTTTGTTGACCCCCAAACAGTTTAAATGTAGTTTTGCAGTTCAAAAGCGGAAAGAGATCAATATACAACTGTATCATATTCTGCAAGCATAGAATTTTGCTATAGATTTGTGCAGCATGGCTAATATTGCTTTGAGTGAGTGAGTGAGTGAGTGAGTGAGTGAGTGAGTGAGTGAATGAATGAATGAATGGAGGTTATTTTGTCAACAAAAAAAAAACATCTGCCACTCCCTTTTTCTGAGATAGTTTTTGCTTCCCGGTGTACTCAACAGATTTCCTGTGGTCCCCTGTTATAAATATTAACTGGGTTTGATCCCACTGATCCTCACTGATATCAGCCCAGACAGTTGTGTACTGCCCCCTTGCGTGATATCATCCATAGGAAATAGGATCAAAAACAATTCCTAACAGATTTCAGAAAATTAGGCAAGAGTTTCACATGTAATTTCAAAAACTTCCAAAAGCTTATCTACTTTTTTTTCTACGTGCCAAGATTGATCCTTGCTCATTCATACGTGAAATGAATTCCATCTTCAGAAAAAAACAAAAACAAAAAAAACCACCTCCATTTATAACTTTAAAAATACAGTTAACTGTAAGGAAAAGTTGCAAGGAAGACGACAATGGAACCAAAATAATGCCCACATTTAGAGACAACCATACTAGGAACTATTGCCTGAATGTAACCCCCAGAAATTATATAGGAAGATTTTTACTGCAAAAATCAGAACAAATAGCTAGAAAACAAACCAGTTTTGTTAAGTAACATAGCATATAATTGAACACCTCTTTAAAACAAGCTGAGCACTGACATTTATGTTCTCCTCTTGGTAAAAAACTGAGACAATACATTTGCATTCTGCAGGATAAATGTGACTTGTTATAAAGAATCATTTTTCTTTCAGTAAAGTGCTGGCTCTCCTCCTAAAACTGTAATTCCTATGCCAAAATGCAAAGCCTGAGAAAATTCAGTAAAGTGATTTTTTTACAGACTGATTTTTAGTGAAATGTTCATTAATTATCCCATGTCACAAACTAATTTATACATTTTATCAGGGATTGTGTCTACCAAAGACAAAAACTTGCTAGAATATACCTGCATTTTGCATAGTATAAAACTTAAACCTATCTCTTTAAAACAGTAAAGAAACCATAAACAAAGGAAGCCATTTGCAAGTACTAATTTGATCAAACAGATAAATAAAAGCAATAATTATAACATACTTAAGCAGAAAATGTTTAACATATACAATAGAATTTCTTTTTTGATGACGTCTTTCTTACCCTTAGTTATATCCAACTGATGTCCATGTACTTCGTTATTCATAATAATACAGTATCACAACCACTAAGTTTAAATCAAGTAGTATTATCAAAACACTACCAAGCAGCAGTTTGCATTTCACTTAAAACTTTATGAGCATCGATACACAATATTTTTTCTTAAATGTATTTCACTACAAAAATATTCCTACCTTTGTTACTGGTATGTTACAAATATTTTTCAAAGACGTATCGGAAACAAGTGCATCAAATTGCCTAGAGGGAGTAAGTTACATGTTTTACAAACAAAAAACACTCTGAATATAAAAGTGTTAATTAGTTCTGCTGGGGACCGCAATGACATCTTAACTGTAATAATGCCTTAACTACTGCTTCTCAATGAGATTATATGGGAGATAAACATTTTTTTTTTACATTAGCAGTGTGAACAGTGTTCATTACCATCATCACTGGGGTTCCAAACTATTGAAAGGATTTCATATTTATTAGATATTTTGCAGCAACCATATACAGTAAATTATGATTAGTTTGCTTACTTATAGATATACTGTATAATCTTACTTAAAACTACCCTGGAAAAGGAACCTGATGGGATTTGAATGAGGACTTCCTCAATTCACAGACTCAGTTTTTTATTCCATACTAGTGAGTGATTATACATGTATGCAGGTGTGTATTTGTGATGCAAGCTCACACATTTTCACCTCACATTACAG